CTCTCTCTCTCTCTCTCACACACACACACACACAGTTGTGTCTAGTGCGCTCAATTGCTGTTTGCTTCAAGCTCTCTTCCCCTGTCATCTTCGGATGCATCCGAACTTGGGTTACTCTCGCCTAACGAAAACCTTGCAACTCTTGTACAACTACACTTGTGGTTTTCGCATGTTCCTCGAACATGCGTCTCCTGTGCCACATGTCGACATGAAAAGAAAATTCAGTGCGATCATCCACACTCTCTCTGTCTCTCTCTGTGTCTCTGTCTCTGTCTATATCCCTGTCTTTGTCTCTGTCTCCCTCTCCATCTCTCTGACACGCTCTTTCTATCTCTGTCAACTCTGTCTAGATCGTAGCGAAGCGACTCACAACCGAGACACTCCGGATGGATGATGGTATAATGATTCTCTCTCTCTCTCTCTCTCTCTCTCTCTCTCTCTCTCTCTCTCTCTCTCTCTCTCTCTCTCCCTCTCTCTCTCTCTCAGTTTCGCAAAAGACACTTCTTGAACTGTGTCCCAAAAAGCACAGGGGAAGCTTCAAACTGAAGGGTCTATACTAGTTCGACACTTCGGATACGTCCGTAACACGAAATGYTGTGGGTGACTATACGGTGCTTGTCTTTTCCATCTCTCAGCCCTCTGGCGTGCTAATATGTCATTTCTTGCGAGCTTCCTCTCTGTCAATCTCCTGTGATCTCGGATATATCCGAACTTTGCTTATCTGGGAAAATCACATTGTCTTGCTGCTCTTCTGCAATGGTAGTCTGAAACGCTTTTAAAAGCGAGGCTGATGATCTCCGCGTGTGCTCAACCCTGCGCCGTCCGTGCGGCGTCTCGAGAAAATTAAGTACAGTCTCTCTGAGGCACTCTGTCTCTCGCTCTTTTTGTCTCTCTCTCTTTTTCTATATCTCTCGCTCTTCAAATGTACACGACCATTTCTTACGGACTTCCTCTGTCTGTCTATCTCCTGTGATCTCGGATACATCCGAGCTTCGTTTTTTTTTTAGATTCACATTACCTTGTTGCTCTCCTACAACGATCGTCTGAAATGCTTTAAAAAACGAGGCTGATGGTCTACGCGTGTGCTCGACTCTGCGTCTCCTGAAAATTAAGTATAGTCTCTCTAAGACTCTCTGTCTCTCACTCTTTCTGTCTCTCTCTCTCTCTCTCGCTCTTTCTGTCTCTCTGTCTCTTTCTATCTCGCTCGCACTATGCATGTACACGATCATCGGTGTAGAACTCCAATTCATTCTGGTCCTCACGCTTCTAAATACAGGTCATCCTACTCCTCTTAGTCTGTGAAGAGGCACAACTCGTTTTACTCACAAACTCGAGTTTGTGTCATTATACCGTTCTGATTCGGATGAGTGGGATGCTCAACTCCAAGTGAAACTATGACACAGTGTAATATATTACTCTGTTCTGGTGTTCCACATCTGGACACAGGAGATATATGTACTGAGGCAGCAGTACATATAACACAGTGGTAGCAGATATATGTACTGACTAAGAGGCGTATAACACAGTGTATACTCTGCTGTGGTGTTCCACATCTGGACACATCCGAACCACGAGAGGAGAGCAGCAGATATATGTACTGACTGTGCTCCTCGCCTCAAAGCTGCTTTACTCCTTGTTTGGATGTATCCGGATCTGGAATACTACACCAGACTATACACTGTGTCATAAATTCGTTTCAAAATAGTACACACAATAATGTACTGTTTTAACGAATAACATGTTGTTAGTATGGATACTACTGATATAGTGGTGCCCCCCGGACCGAATAGTTGTGACTGTTCAATTCTGCTGGTTTTCGTCGACCACTTTTCTAAGTGGATCAAGGCCTACCCCTGCAAGACACGACAAGCCGCGGAAATCGCGCGGTACGTCAACCGTTTTCTGGGCATGCACCAGGACACAGAAGAGATCCTGACCGACAATGGGGTCGAATTTAGAGGAGAAGTCGAGAGGAACCTGGTCATACACGGTGTCTCCATACGGCACACGGCCCCGCACATGTCCCAGTCTAACGGATTAGTAGAAAACGCAAATAGGGTGATAAAAACGGCCTTGCGGCGGAATATTGCGGCACGTGACCCCCGACCTTGGCCTGATATTATCGACCACATCTTGGCGGTCCATCGCGGAACGCCCCACAAGTCGACGGGCCTAAGCCCCTTCCAGTTGCGGACCAATAGTGTCGCGTGTGTATCGATACCGAGCCTCCCAGACGAATGGGGACTCAACCGACGCCCCACAAGGGCCACCGCTCGGGACAAAGCCAAAAGGCACCTGGAACTCATGGAGCGGTCCCTACCTAGACTGGCCCGGAAGCGCCAACGGTCCACCGAATTGGCCCATGGCCGACAGGTTCGGAGTTACGAGGCCCGGAACGGGAATGCGGGTCCCAGGATCCAGTATAAGTTAGGGGACATCGTGCAGGTAAGGAAATGTGCGCGCCAGGGTAAACTAGCGCCACGATTTTTCAGACAGTATCGAGTGATTGAACTCGGATCCAAGGGCGTGGACACCGTGCGCCTCGCTCCCGAGGTTTCCGGCAGTCGATCGGCTCGCCCGATCACACGCCACGTGTCCTATCTCCGTCTTCTTCCCTCTGTTCTGTCTCCTTCTCCATCAACCTTTCCCGACGACGACTCTATCTCCTCTGCATCTTCTTCTCCTTCTCAATCCCTGTCGGATACGCCGTCACCCTCGGCATCGCCATGAGGTTTATGGAGGAGAGAGCTCTAAGTGAAGAAGCGTCGGGAGCACGTGGGAATTTGACACTGCGGCAGGCGCATCATCCTCGTCTTAGTCCGGACCTTCAGCGGGTTGCGCAATTCTTCTGCTCGAAGGGCGTCTACGCGGCAGCAGAGATCCACGTCGACGGGAGGGCTGACGCGATCATATTGGCCGAAGCTGTCGGGTTGCGACAACGAGCATCTGCGGGCGTCGGCCAGATAACGGTGGTGGTTAATTTCAGTGGGGATCTCACGGCGATCCCCCCCTGCCGGCACACGAGAATCAAGGCGACGTTGCTTCTGTGGGCGCACAATCTTCAGAACGAGTGGACCCAGCTCCTGGCGCACCAAGGGGACGTGATCGCACCAATCCGAGCGATCGAATACAACGGCCTTCGGCTGGATCGGCGTGACTCGCCGATGCAATTACCCCCTCTCATCCCCTTCCATCCCCAATGAGTTCCTTCCCGATCTCTACTTTCGAGCTTCCTTCTTCCTTCCCCACCTTTTGGCAGTCTGATCTTCATCCCCGCCTCTCCTTCTGCATAGATCCTCTGGTTGTTCCCCTCATCGATCCCTCTCAGTGGGACGCGTGGCGCAGAGACTTCATCGAACTTTCACTGTGTTTGGCGGAAGTACGGGTGGCGTGGACGAGGGACGAGAGCAATTATCCGCGGTCTGAGCGATTGGAGCTCCTTTTGATTCAGGCGTGGCGGACGGAAGTAGAGGGGGACCTTCTCGGTTTTCTATTCGGGGCAGTGCGTCCAAGCTGTCGGAGGCTTCTCACCCAGGAGCTTACGGTCCCCATTGCGCAGCTGGCCGACCATCTTGACGTCAGCATTGTCTCCCAGGTCGACCCGCGCTTGGTGCCCCACGTCACCTTGCGCACGCTGTTGCCGTATCTTCAGTGGTCAGCTTGGATGGAGGGCCTCCCATCGAGAATTCCGCCTTCACGTTTGGATTATTTGGATCCGCGCGACATCGTGGATCCCGCTTTCTACAGAACGTCGTACGAGGACGAATTGGAGGAGATAATCCTCGAGGAGCTCGTGGAAGAAAGTTCGGAGGAAGAGGAGGAGAATCTGAACGAAGACGAAGGGGAGTCGGCACAGCAACAAGAAGGAGACGAAGACGAGCTCCTGCAAACGGAGAGCGAAGAGGAAGCAGAAGAAGAAGACAGCGAGCAAGGGAGCGGGGACGACAACGACGAGGAGCAGGCCGACGAGGATCCCCAACTAGAAATTGCGCTGGTGGCTGATCTTCCGATCAGCAACGATCCAACGCTCGACCCGGAGCCACCTCAGCCAGATGACGGCCATGTGGCCCACGTGGCTGGGCCGTCCGCTCGCCGGCCTCCTTCCCCACCGCGACGCCGATGACGAGGCTGCTCCCCCTCCGCCCTCCTCTCCCTCGCGGCCCGTCCCCCACTTCGAGCACGTCGAGATGAGGCCGATCGGTCTTCGTCCTCGGGCTCTCTCTCTCCGCCCCCATGACTTCCTCACCCTGCGCCAGCTCGCCCGTCCCGCCGTCTTCCCCCACAACCCCTTCCCCCGCGACACTTTCCGTCGTTACTTCTCCATCCGTCTCTCTGTCACAGTTCATCCCCACTCATCCTCCCGGCGTGCTTTCCCCGAGTTCCCTCTCCATGTACTTCTCTTCAGCGTTGGATGGCGTCGTATCAACGCCGTAAAGGTTTATTGCCTCATCACGAGGTTAATCCCCGCATGCGCCGACCGCGATCGCTTTCGCGCGGCGCTTCTTAGAACCTTCGCCACTCTATATCCCGACTAACTCGCTTCTCTCCCCACTACCGGCCGCCGATTCCCCCGCTTCCACAGAATCGTCTATCATCGGAGCCTTCCGGAAACGGACGATGAGCTGGAACGCTTCTTCCCGCCTATCCCGACTCATCCCCCATCAACACCTCCGCCTGCCTATCGTCTTTCTTTTCCTCTTCCCCACGAATGACGACAACCAGGATACGACTGCCGCGCAGCATGACTTCCACACTCGTTCGCACAGTATGCGGCCGAAAAGAAGATCAACCATCCACGGCCAATCAATCGAAGATGAGCAACACGTCAGCTAGCAAGCAGGAGCTTGCTTATCTTTGGAACCCCCTGGGCGTCACATATGTGACGAACTAGCTTCTGTAATGCGCGACTTTCGGCGCGAAGTGCTAAGCGGGGTCCCACGTTGATTGGACGGGTTGATGGAAAATTGCATGTGTGTCCTTGCTTTCTTCGTTGTTTCTTCGTTCTCGCACGAGCCCCTGATGACAGTTGGGGACAATTTGGGAATACACAGGGAAAAGGGGGCGAAACTTGGCCGGATGCGGGGTGCGCGCCGAGTGCGCGATTAATAAACGTTGACGTCCCTTCTTTTCTTTCATTTTCCTTCTTTTAATTTTGTTTTGTCGGACTYTTGGGCGCGCAGACATCGCGCGGGAATTTCGGTGTCTCTTTTTGAATTTCCTTCTTGAATTTTCTTTTCGAATCTTGGTCGGAGCCATACGACCTTCGAAATTTTGACTTTCTTTCCGGACCTTTTCATAATATGGGCAGGCTAGCTAGGAATTTAGGAATTTTGAAATTTCTGTTTTTCTGGGGCGCTGCTTTGCGTGTCCGCGCGCTCTTTCTTGCTGCTGCGCCGAAACCTTGATTGATTGGCGCCTTAATCCTTTTGCAACTGTAATTTTTGGCGCACACTTTTGTAACTGTATCTTTCTGTTTCTTGCTTTTTATTCTTCCCGCCTCGTTTCTTCCTCTCCCCCCCCCGCCTACATTGGGTAGCCGCGTTTGCATGATCGAATCGATGCGTGGAGTGGGTACGTCCCCCACCCCGCGGCCCGACCATGCAAACGTAGGCACTCCCTTTCCCCCATCTATCTATGTCCTTGTAATTCCGTGTTCTTTGCGCATGCATGCACGCTATAAATTCCGGCTGCGCGATTAACTTGCTCTTTTAACAGTTGCTGGAAGCTCGGGGTTGCGCGATCGAGAGGGTCGACACACGAGCGAAGTAAGAGGTGAGTGAAGTGGGAGTCGGGCGACCCGACGAGCTGGTGCCGAATGCGCGGGGTTGACGTGGGCCACGACGGACTGTGGGCGCGGAGCGAACCTAACGGGCGCAGGAGGACTAAGCGGGGTGACGGCTTCATGTGTTGGTGCTCGACGACGAACTGTCGGCATCGGAGAGAGAGAGAGAGGAGAGAGAGTTGAGATTGAGGATGGACATGGATTTGCGCTTTTCTTTTCGTTCCCTTTTTTATCTGTGTATATAAATTTTGGTATCAATTACGGGCAATTCGCCCTTGTCTTTGCGGCCATATACTTGTCCTGTTGTCTGATTTGGTTTTTCATCGATGTTTTCTCCTTTTTCTTTCCTTCTCCGGAATCCTCCTTGCAAATGATGTATGGATGGTTCGCGCACCCTCGCCTTTCATTTTTGATCGTTTCCTTCGAACCCTCGTACATGATGGGTGACAATGGGGATTGCATGTTGGCGTGATCATTAGAGTGTGTTGGCTTGTCGTATCTTACGGGTAGTCTGGAGCACACCATCCGACGTGCCATAGGGGCACATGCAAGGGCGATCCGGACGCAGCGCGGCTTACATGTGTCCATACCACTCGGACTCGCCAATCACATCTTAACTAACGCGCGTAGCCAGCCCCTCACTGAAGTAGGAGTCGATGTCAATCGGGATCGGGTTACCCATCGCGCGTAAGTGCGTGCAAGTGTGACTCGTTCGCATCTCTCTTACGCACTTACGAGCGGCGATCTCCCCGATTAACTTATCCCCCAAGGCGTGAGTGATGAAAGAATGACAAGCTCGCGGAATCCTGACGTATCTTGGAATTCCGAGGATTACGAGTCGTATTTCGGGTACCGGGAAATCTGGGAAGAAGAGCAACTCCGATTACGGGGAAATTTGAGGAACCCGGTATTCCCCTGCCTCACAGAAAACGATAGATTCTGCGCTAGGGAATTCCAGCTCGCCGTACGAAGCGACCCGCGGGGACCCGACTACCCAAACACGTACAACACGCAGTATTTCATAACTCCCGGCTTCGTCCTTATCGCCACTAATTTTCCGCCATACCACCTCCTCCTCCCCTATCATCAGCTTACAGTAGTACCGTGAAATTCCATAGCACCTTATTGGCCCTCCACCCCGTGCAGAAGCTGCAGGCGGCGTGCCCATACCCGAACCCCCGGAGCCTCGGCACCTAGGCATAGTCCCCACCAACCCACGCCACGTGGCGGGCCCCGCAGGCGTGATCCCCAAGAACCACCTCGACAGGCTCCCCAGAACTGGCGATCGCGTCAGGATTGGACGGCCCCGCACAACCAACGTGCAAGCCCGCGCCCGTAAATTTTCCCATTGCTCTATTGCATCTATGCCCCTTAACCTTACCACCGGAGATCTCAGTTCCGACCTGGGACTCCACCCCCACTTTCCAAACATCCTTGGCACACCCCTTTGGCACTTCCAGGCCCACACCCTACTCCGATCAGGAAGTCGCGCCGGGCGTGAGGTTAGGGCGTCACAGTTGGACTTGGATCCATATCTTGCTTCACCACACACAAACCCCAACCTAAACCTACTTTCACATCCAAAACCAATGTACATGCATGCTTACGGATTACAAAACTCTACGTTCATATGCGTTTCTTAAACTACCAGTACTTGGCCCAACTATCAGCCGCAGAAAAAAATAGAGTAGAAACGTTTCTAGTCGGATGAATTTGGGTCTTTCGTGTAGTGGGCTGTACGTTTCCTAAAATTGTGGCTTGTATACGGGCATGACTTTATGAAGTACTGGTGGTTTAAACTCAAACAACATATTCTGATAAATCGCTAATAATATCCATTCCGAACTTTTCTTCAAGGTGCTTGGCGGAGGGGCTCCGCCACCCCCCCCCCCTGCATCCCCTCGCCCCATGTCAGACTCCAATTCACACACATAACCTGCACCCGACCGCTAAGAAATGCGCATGAACATCTTCGTTTCTAGTAAATAGTTAAGAAATTAAGAATATACTTTCTGTTTTTTTTTCAAGTCACGTCAGACTTGGATCCATATTTTGCTTCTCCACACACAAAACCCGCACGCGGCCGCTAAGAAATGCGCATGAACTCTTTTTTTAATAATAAATAGTTAAGAATAT